CTGGAAGAATTGCTTGTCCTCAAGCAAAACAATCTAACCCCTTAAGAACTACACATAGAAACAAGAAAACAATAGCTAACAACTAACTCCCCTGAGTGAAAATGTCACTCAGGCAAGTGACACTGCAACACTGCCCCGAGTGACAAAAGTCACTCAGGCAAGTGACACTGCAACAAACACACAAGAACTTCACAGCAACTACCAAACATAACTAGTTCATATGACAATCGGATACAACATCTCAGACGCAAGAAAAACAAGTATATCTTTACCCAAATTTGAATTTCACCTAGTCTTTACGAAATCACCTCCGTATGTGTGTGAGTCATGCCAAGTATGAAAAGTAACAAATTAGTATAAGTAAATAATAGCTCATGGTGCATATTTAGATATTTCTTAGCCTTATGACTCAATCTTTCTTACCACAATCATGCTAATGTGGCCAATACAGCCTCAGAGATATAAGGACTCTCATAGTTCATTTCTTTTCAACTATTCTCCCTCATTCCCTTTTATTTACCTCCCAGTCTTTTGGCTTTTCCAATTTATGACTCATGATTCTTTTCTTTCCAACTTCCGACCCCTCCTACTGAGAGCTTTCGATAGGAGACTTTGCTTTCCAGGCCAAAGGATCACTCATTGTTGCCATTTCACTCTAAGGAAAGCATTGATGCTCTACCTTATGCTCCCTCAAGTTCTTTTGAACTTTTTTTTTTGTTTACTCATTTTTGAGCATTCCGCCTACTAATTCCCAAAGAGGGTATTAGAGAAGGTCATTTAAGCTTGCCTTAGTCAACTCTTTAGCATGTAAAAAAAACCACACTTCGCATTCAAGTGGTAGTAAGAAAAGTCATTTAAACATTTATAACCAATTTAGAACACCACAGAGCTTGCTATAAAACTCAACTTCAATGTGACTAAGCATAAAGGCATGTGTGCTTAAGTAGTGTAGAGATGATAACCAAGAGGTTAGGTAAAATCAAAATTTGAATTAGATATAAGAAATTAAGTACATTGGTCTTCATAGATATCCAATTATCATAGAACTAGCATTTACAAAAATCCGAAAAAATGTATAAACATATTCTCTACTACTTCCCTAAACTTATTCAAAGCATTGTCCTCAATGTAGACAAACACATAACATAAAATAAAAAACACAAAACACAAAACAAAATGAACACTCAAAATGAAAAAAAATGTGTAGTCACTTCGACAGTTTGGAATTTTAATATGAACATCAGAAACCTTATTTATAACGGACAAATCGATCAAATAGCAAAGGTTATTTCACTGCAAACTATATAAAACTTTGGTCATGCATAGTTTAGTGCATATGAACGTATCAAGTAGATAGATTTTTAATGTTATTTATCAGGCATGGTTTTATTTGTGATGGTCCTTCTCAATTTATTACTTTATTCAGCCACAAGTCCTGCTCTTCCAATTCATACTCCCTATTTCAGCCCCGGATACTCAAAAACAATACTCAAAAGATGATACAGAGGTTGGAACAAGTATAGAATCTTCCAATGCAATCCTTTCGATTGAACAAATTCATTCCGACGGAGATCATCAACATATTTTCAATGATTCAAAAGATGACGAATTTGATATGGAACGGAAATTGGAACAAGACAGTAAAGTTTCTGTTTCGATATATTATAATCACTCGAAAAAAGCCAAAGTTAAAAAGAAAAAAGTCTAAATTCACCGGTCAGATAGATTGAATAAGGATTGAAATTTTACTTTATGATTAAAATTGTACTTGATATAGAGTTTGGGATATCCGCTGCCCTATTTTTATTTATAATTTACAAAATTTGGTTTTTCTAGAAAAAATAAAATAAAATAAAATAAAACATTAAGGGCCTAACCCCTATTTATAGTAGTACATGGAACTTTCTACTTATTTTCAAGATTTTTCTATAACACCTAAATATCTAGATATTTTATTCTAATATATAAAATTTTCCATGAGATATTTTAAATACATATTTCTACACATTTTAGATATCTTTCCAAAAGATTTCTATAACTTTTTATTATCTTCTTTTTCTAGACTTCTCTTTTGAATGGGTTAGGACTTATAATAATTAGTTAACACTTATGGTCTAATTTAATAACCTTGAATAGCCCAATAATAATTGGACCAAGCTAGTTTAATTACTAACACTGCTATGCTGGGAAAGTAACTCTGGGCACTAATGTTCATAAACCCCAATAATTTAATACCTATAAATTAATGCTCATTCGCCATTTGTTGTTCTACCCATCTTCCCTGCAAAAAAGAAAGGGATTGAATATTTTCCAATGTTATATTGAGAATGTTGAACCAAGGCTTATTATGGATAACATATGAAAATAATGGTCAAAATCAAATTTACTTGTAAACTGCTCTGATAGGAAATAGGATTGACTAACGAGTCTGAAGAAACACGAATTAAATGAATTTGTTAATGATATTTGCTAGTTTTTTTTTTTTTTTTGAAAGGTACCTGTCATTTATAGATAATCATTAAAACCTAAACTATTACACTTCGCTAAATGATGAAGCATGGATTTGTACGGTGCGGCCGGCGATGATGACCTAGGCGGCGGCGAACGGCCTAAAACCTGCAAGACAGAGCCTCGGGTGTCTCCCGAGGGTAGACGCTCCGATGCTTAAGTCAGCAAAAGGATAGAAAGAATAGGGAGAGAGGTAGAAGATACGTGTATCAGATAGTAATTATGAGCGAGGCACCACCTCTATATATAGAGGTGGTGTTACCTGTTTTCCTAAACCTAGTCGAATTAGGTTTAGTCGGTGACATAACTTCCAAGATAGCCGGCCCAAACCCATTAGGGTTAGGGTTTAATCTATGACTCGCCAAGTGCCCCTAGCAAGTCATATTTTTGAGATTTGGTGAGAAGGATATGACTTGACGAGTCATAGATTAAACCCTAACCCTAATGGGTTTGGGCCGGCTATCTTGGAAGTTAAGTCACCGATTGAACCTAATCGACTAGGTTTAGGGAAACAGGTAACACCATCTCTATATAAAGAGGTGGTGCCTCCCTCATAATTGATATCTAATACACGCATCTTCTACCTCTCTCCCTATTCTTTCTATCCCTTTATTGACTTAAGCATCGGAGCGTCTACCCTCGGGAGACACCCGAGGCTCTGTCTTGCAGGTTTTAGACCGTTCGCCGCCGCCTAGGTCATCATCGCCGCCCGTCCTAAGGACCGTACAAATCCATGCTTCGTCAAGTGGCACGCCCGATGGGACCGATTTGTTTGGTCCTTACAACCAAATAAATTTCTTAACGAAGCATGGAATCTTTTGCAACTAGAAGATCATGCAAAAAATTATCTTTGTTTGGCCAAGAAGACGTCAGCCGACAAGTAGCACAAAGAAGCTTTTGATTTCACAGATAATCGATGAGCTGCACTCGCTCCACAGCTCATCGAGAAGAACAATTAGCAAGGGGCAACCTCGAAGATTGAAGTTTCGAGAGATACATATCCTCGAAGGGGCCAGCATCCCTCGAGCACAATAATACTCCTCGAAGTGTTCGAGAAGATGTATCTCGACTTTTATCTACTCAACAACTATCTTCTCGGAATCGAGGTAACACTTTCTCGAATAATTAATTTATCTCGAGATCGAGGTACATCTCAAACCTTTTCTAAATACGTTTCTCGAATCTATATTCATTTATTACTAATACCATTATTCCCCTTTTGAGTGAAATTGCATATCGATGAAAGACCTGCTAGTCGGGCACCGGGTTTAAATGAGACCTGATAGTCGCGCACAATCCACAAAGACCTGCACGACAGGCAAAAAAGGCTTCTCCCCTTCAAATAAGAGAGTAAAGGCTTCTCCCCTTCGAATAAGAGAAAGTAGGCTTCTCCACTTCAAATAAGAGAATCTAGGCGCCATCCTCCTAATTTGGCATAAACAGGCTTCCTCCTGCTACTAAGGAACTTACTAACACAAAGACCTCCTCGAGGCATTCTACTCTCTCTATCTTGTATAGGTGACACCCAAGAACGAAAGAGTTCGAGAACTAGGGGCAACACCCCGAAATTCGAGAAGACTCAACACTCATAGCAACCCATATCCTTCTCACAAAATCTCGAGAATTTGGCTTGCTAGGGGCACTTGACGAGTCATAGATTAAACCCTAACCCTAATAGGTTTGGGCCGGCTATCTTGGAAGTTAAGTCACTGACTAAACCTAATTCGATTAGGTTTAGGGAAACAGGTAACACCATCTCTATATAAAGAGGTGGTGCCTCCCTCATAATTGATATCTAATACACGCATCTTCTACCTCTCTCCCTATTCTTTCTATCCCTTTATTGACTTAAGCATCGGAGCGTCTACCCTCGGGAGACACCCGAGGCTCTGTCTTGTAGGTTTTAGGCCGTCCGTCGCCCCTTAGGTCATCATCACCGCTCGTCCTAAGTACCGTACAATTCCATGCTTCGTCACTAAATATTATTAACGTGGATATGATATACGCATTTCACAATATGGTAATGAAACTGAGTTTCATTTATCAAAATAATCTCACTTCCGCCTGCTATTTGACTAACTCTTCACATCAACATTCAGGCTGCAGATAACTTGGTAATTAGGTGGGTCGTCGAGGTCAATGATTAATTGAAATAAGTAACCAAGTTAACAGGGTCTTCGATGTCATTTGTGCGCCATTTTCTTATAATTCTCATTCAAGTCTAAAAAGATTCATACGTCATAATAATTATTGTTCAAATACTACCTTTTAATGCCACTGATGAGTTAAATGATATGAGGTAAACCAGATGGAAATAGCAATCATGCAATGTGGCAGTCCACACTGGCCATTTGACTCCTTAAATACATCGTGCTTTATATGTTTTTTCATTATAGCTCAAGCACTTGATTCGACTCTCACACCGTCACACAGTTGAGCACGTCTTAATTTCTTCTTCTACTTTTCACTTTCTTTAGAGGCACAACAGAAACATGGGATCATCACCACCTCCACCTTTACCTGGTCCTGCATTACTAGCCAGTTCCTTTCGTAAGATTGTCGCAGATGCTATTAAATCTCACCCAGATATGGCTGATTTTCTCACAAATTTGTATTTCAAAAATGAGAATAGCCAATATTCCTCCCGAACCGACCATCGTAGCTTTTCCTCTTCTCAACCAAAAAATCAGCTGGAATCCCAAATCGTTTTACCAACCATGCCAAATAATAACCCTACATCATCAATGCATTCCAGCTGGACTTTTCATTCTGCACCGGCCGGTGGTATTTGGTCCAGAAATCAACCCGAATCGGATCAATATTGTAAATGCATGGAGAAAACATTGGTGGAAGGCCCCATAATGCCTTCCATGAGGACTTGCCCGGTTCATGAAACTTCCTACGAGATTTCAAATTTGTCTAGGTTGTTAACTGCTTCTCCTATTTCACCGTCACCACCAGTCGTACATGGGTTTGTCGTTGAATCCTTTTTTTTTTCTTGTTTTTTTTTTTTTTTGTTCCGCTTAGTTCGTACGTAAAATTTTCAATTAAATGTAATTAATTTCAGTTCTGATGGATTTCTTTTTTTTTTCCAGTGATGACGTAATCTGTAGGATGTGTGATTCAGTTCCTAGTGATCATCAGAATGCTGGAGGATTTGTCTTTGTTCCATTGAACTCAAACAACCAAGAGGGACTTAATTCCCAAAGGTTTACTATATCTCTATCATTATAATTTTTTTTTAACAATAACAAGATTTTACGAATTTTACATTTTGCTATGAATGCATGTCTAATTGATGCTAGTTGTTTTGGTAATATTTAACAGTTTGGAAAGCTCTTCACTCCTACATGGACAGAGGATTCAGAGTATTCAGACAATGACTTCCCCAATAGTCGCAACCACACCAGTCATCCCAAATGACGCCGACAAACTCCAGCAATTTGTTAAGCAATTCGAAGCACTAATTCATGTGGATCTAGAACTGATGGATTCTGACAACGACGATCTGGAAATCTCCCCGTCGACGATCCCCTCAACTTATGATAATGGCCCGACAATTTATCATACAGCATCAGGAAGAAACAATAGTACTGGCGTTAATGATGAGAACGTTGATGAAGAAGAGTTAGGAACAAACCAAGAAGTGTCGCCCAAACCAAATGATGAATTGATGATTGGGGACGATGATGAGTTCTTAGATTGGATAAACTGGCCCGATGATCAGTTCATGATGGATAGTACTAGAGATATATATTGATCCTTGATGTAACAAAAAAAGGATAAAATATAAACAAGTAAAATAGGTGATTTAGAGAATGATGCTACCTTTTATTTAAACACACAAACCCGCGCGCACACACGCATACACACACTAGCTATATTCTTTAAGAAGTTGTTTTTTTTTTTCGTTTTGTTTCTATAATCTTTTAATTTGTACCATGTTACTTTCCTCATCATTTCACCTCAATAAAAGCACTGCTCTTGTTTTCTTTCCAAAGTCATCTGCATTTGGTGTACTTTGGACCTGTATATCAAAAGTTTTAGATATATATTTTGATGTGGCATCATTAAAACTAAAAATAATATGCTCTTTAATTCAATTCTTTTTAAGATCTATGATGAAGTAAAATGAGAAATGAAGGTACATAGCTCATCAACATCATTTGGAACGTTTGTTATCATATTACTCATTAAAGTCTAAAAACATCAATCGGTTATAGATATTTGTAATCACATTAAACGCCACTTATAACTTTTCCCGAATTTACACAAAACCAAGTAATAATTAATGATGATAACTGTTAGAGTCCATAAATCTATATCTATATATCCTATTAAAACAATAGTCTAAGAGAAAAAAAGGCTTATGTGTCGCGCTCTCATTCATCCATTTCCCGCTCAATCAAAATGACATCGTTTTGTACAAAAAAAAAAACTAATTTTTCTCTCACCTAATTATACTGAAACTTTCCATCTCTTTATAAGAAAAAAAATATGATTGATTTTCCTATTAATTGTCTGGAAATTAATGAAATCTTTGACCAAATCAAAAATATAAAACAATTAGACTCATACCATTAATATGCATTAATTCTGAATGATCTCTTAATCAACAATGAAGTTAGTTTACTGAAAAAAATCATTTCTCTGTAAGAATCTGCTCATTCTATTTTCAGATAGAGAAATTTTAATTATGTGTGTCAATTAAATATTTTATTTTTAGAATAAAAACTAGCGTATATCATGAAAAAATTTGTTGAAATTTCACGAGTAAAATTACGAAAAAAATAAATGAAATATATTTTTTACATTCAAATTGAATCACTCTAATGCCAATCTTACATTCAAATTTCAAAAAAAAAATTGAAATTTCACAAGTAAAATGACGAGAAAATCCAAGTAAAGCGTTCTTCTTATATTGAAAATCAATCATCGTAATATGCATCTTATTAAAAACACGTTAAAATGTAACGGATAAAACTACGAAAAAAATTCAAGAGAAATATTTTTATTATATTTAAGCTCAAAGAAATTTAAATTATAAATAATAATACTAATACCACTTAATTTTCACATTGTTCTTTTACCTCATTTTTTATTTTTCACTTATTCTTTGTATTATCCGTTTTTCTTAAGATTTTATTTTATAATTAACCATTAATCGAATACATTGTATTTTCTTCACAACTAATAATCATTTTAATATATTCCATGCAACGCACAGGAGAGAACCTAGTTCTGTTTAAATTGTTATTATTTTATTAGTTTATGGATTCGAATGGTTTTAATTTATTTCTTTTGTCAATGTTTTGTGTTAGGAGCTGAATGTCAGAGTTTACAATGTTTCTGAGCTAATTGATACAAAAAGATCGACTACAAAATGATGGGTGTCGAGACCACCAAAATAAACCTACTTCAACCTGTAGCAAATGATAACAAGTGTCGTTCCCACAGAGACGAGAAACACTTAATGAAAATTGGGATCCAGTACTAGAACACAGAATAGAAGTAAAAACAGCAAATTGGCAAGTGAGTTTATGACTTTGCAAAGTGATGGTAGTCTAGGGTTGTCCTCCACTCTACTCTATATGCATATGTATTGATTCTTTTAGCTCTCTACGTGGTATGAAACTGTATTCAATTAGGTCACATAAACACTGTAAGGTCACTTCCGATTGTTCCAGACAGCAGCCCTAATAGTAACCAGTAAACAAACTTTCGTTGTTGACTCGAAATTACTACTAAGCCATTAAACTTTTCGGCCCTTATGCCTGCCTCGTGCCAAGCAACTAACTTCCATTGTTGTTTGAAATCTTGGGATGTCACCCCCTCGTCACCAGTTAATCCGAGACGTTCTAAGTTACGTTTACCGTTCCGGGATTCCCCTAACATGCAAGAATAATTAGTTTGAATGGCCTATTCAACTTAAAAGGATAATTTAAATTCTAGAATTAAGCATACAAATATCATCCGAGAGCATGAATTAAAACATAATTATATAGGGTAGAGGGATTAGATCCTAGCAATAAGTTTAGCTACTCATGGATTGGAGCTCGAACACCACAAAGTTTAGGTGTTGAGACTCCATCCAAATTACAACAGAAAGAGAAGAAAACAGGGAGAGAGTAAAGTCAGGGACTGTGCTAAAGTGCAGCTAACTTCGTAGAGTCAGCTTTTCACTTCCGCAAGTGACACCCCTGAGTCTACCTCCTAGAGTTACACTCTGTTTCTTCCTAACTGACTAAACTACACTACCATTCTAAATGTTTCTGGTCTTTGATGACTTCATCTTGATGCTACTACTGCCTTTTATAAAGGTTGTGGGAGAGCTCTTGCTTAGCCATGTTGGTCTCCTCTTTACCCGATGGGTTTTATGCAAAAGAGAGGAGACCTATACTTCTGTCAACTTTTCCCTTACCGCTAATCATCAATTGGAGAGATTTAGTTGAATAACTCTAGCTTTAAGGTATATCAATCTTCTCCAATGTCAGCAGTATCACTTTACCAACGGCTCTTCTTCCTAAGCTTTGAAAGATTACTCCAATTTCTTCCTTTTTCCAGCCGGATTCAGCCATCTCAGCCCTTGCACGATCAGTCCCTGCGGCTACTTCCAATTTAGCCCGAAACTTCACCAATTTGTCACATTTTGCAACCCTTTCTGCTCAAATTGCAATCCAGCCCCTAGATTGCCATAAGTCACCAAATTATCCTATAAATATATAATCCTAACCTAATTGACCTATAATTAAAGTATAAAGAGGTAAAATTGATGCCTAAAAACATAGTACGAAATGCACTTATCACAGAATCATCCAGCTTGAGCCAATGGAGACATTTATCTTGTGGAGGAACTAATTTTAATGATTCAAGTTGCTGAGAGCATAATTTCATAATAATAAAAACTATTGGACTGAAGTTGACTATTGAAGAACTTTTGGCACAGATGTGAAGATTCTTGAAATTATAAGGACCAATTTTGCAATTTTCGGCCAAACTTATGTGAAGATTCTACTTTTAAGGAGGCCGTGCCTTTCATTTTTGGCCACGTTTTGGCTACAATTTTGTACGTTGCTTTTATGGCTTGGACGTCCGCGGTTGCGCTTCGTTTCTCCGGGTTTTTATTCTTCTTGACTTGGTACTATTAAGTTATCATGTCTATAATTATGAGTGGTTAAACCTTTTTATTACTGATTTAAAGGATTAATTCAGTTGTTGCATTGTGAGGTTATGCTTTAATTTATCTTTCGTACTTTTAGTTCTTGTAATCGAAAGAAGATATCGATCGAATGCTATCTGATGGGTGAATGTTACGTAATAGACACGAACCAATGGTACTAAGTAGCAATTAGGCGAAGTATGTGTATTAGTGTGATAAAGGATGCACAAATAAGTTTATGTGTGGAATCCACAAGACAAAATTAATTAATTGTAGCTATATTTGTTAATTACTTTTGGTTCAATTAGTTCTTGTATGTATTGTTGTTGTAGTTAGACATGGAACGTTATCGTGCTCGGTCTGTCATGGTAAGATTTGATTGAATGCTGGGTTTGGTTAATGTTTTTAGATAAGTCTAAATTTGTTATAGCTATCCTAATAAATTTGTGGTTAAATGCTTGAATATAAGAATGTATTTTTGACATATGATCAATGAAATAATTGAGTTGTCTGTCCCTTGGATCAATAGTTTGTTACTTTGATTTCCTTTATTTATTTATTTATTTTCTATTTTTTAAATTTCTCGTTATCATAGATTTAAAATAACAAACCGAAATCTCACCTTTGCATTAGTTTAAAGGAGATAATCTACCATTTCCTGAGAAGGCGATCTTACTTCTTTATGCTACGTAATGTGAAGTAGGTTATGTTATTAGTAGTCCACATGAATGATTTCAAACAGAGAAAGTGAATGAATAGTGCTATGAGGGAAAACCAAACGTTGTTGCTTAGCCAAAGGGCAAATATTGCAATTTACATTAGAATCCATTGGCATTTTGAGAGCAGAACTAAGTTGCTGCATTACAATTGATGAAGGATGGCCTAATCTAGAATGCCAATGCGCATTTAAAGCAACAACTGGGTGTTTAGTACAAGGCAAATGGCCAACATGTGTTTCTATAGAAGAATGAAGCAAAAGTCTAGGTAGATGAAACTTTATTTGGATGTGAATTTCTTGTGGATCAAATGAGTCCCGTCTGATGGCATAAAGACCTTTGAAAATGTTGGCAATCCCCAGGACCTGATTAGTCACTAGGTCCTGTATGATGCACAATTCAGCAAGAAAAGAGAAGTAAATATTGGCTGTTTGAGCAAATTTTCTGACAGAGATCAAGTTATATTTAAAGGTTGGAACAAAGAATGCATCCAAAAGAGCAAGTCTGGAAGTTAAAGGAACAGTTCCAATCCTTTCAACAAATTGGAAACTACCATCATGAAGTCCTACTGGTGTGAGTTGAATGACAGGCTTATGATAAGAAAACAAAGATAAAGTATGAAGCATATGACCAGTAGCTGCACTATCCAAAAAACCAGGATCATCTTCAAACGAACTATGAATACCAAGTTTATGATAAGTAGTACTACCTGCAAACTCAGTGATATGAACAAAGTTGATCATGTTGTCCTCTGGAATTGTTGCCTTACCTTTCATCATCCGTCCAATTCTTGCTGCAAGAGGTGAAGCTGTTGAGCCATTGCATTCCAATCTCTGGATGGTCCTTCTCCCAAATCCAGTGGAGTGTCCATTGTTTCTACAGCAT